TGCTCCCAGTTCTTTAGAATGCATGCCAGAGGCGTGTCTGGCTTTAACCTTGAAGAGGAAGCTCCCACCTGGAAGAAAGAAAGACAGGTGTATGACACCTGGTCAGCCTTTCTCTGTGAGGGCATCCCCTTGCCTTGGAGCCCGGGTGACAGTGGTCAATCACCTCCTCTGCCAGGCCTACTGGATTTAACCACTCCTTACCAGCATGGCCTGCACCTTGCCTTGATTCCCCTCTTGCCTTCCCACTGTAAGTGCTCTGAATTTAGTGGGACCTCACCAGTGTGCTCCTACTTCATGCCTTCTGGGAGTCTGTTCAGATCCTAGTTTCTCTGCATGAGCTTTAGCATAGTCCACTCGGGATCATTCCTTGAGGGGCCCCTGTCTGTCTGATAAGTGCAGAGGCTGTGAGACCTGCTGCTGCCAGAGTCAATGTCAGTAAGAGTTACAAGCCCATTTCGCTTCCCTGGGGGTTGCAGAAAAGGAAATGCCTAGCTCCAGGATGACTGCCTCTAAGCAAGAGAGTTCAATAGAATAGAGCCATTTACATGTTGGTCTCAGGTTTCAGCTTGACTACTTCAGAGACTTCATTTACATTACACAGGAGAAAGCGGCACAGCCCTAAGAGGACTGCTTTCAATGAGCAGGGGGACTGTTTCCAAGGCCAGAGATAAAATTTAGAGGCTGTCACAGACATTTATTGGGGGAGTGGAGGAGGTCTATACTCTTAAACACCAGTTTCTGCCACTGCCTGGGAATCAGCTTGCTAGTTCCCCACTGTAAGAAACCTGGTCTGTGAGACAAGAGGTCAGGGGTCACCAGTGACTCTCGCATAGGCAGCAGCCTAGCCGGAGGTTCATTCAGCACCATCGGATGAATTGGCCGGAGCCGAGATCCAAGGACCACAGTCTACTAGTCCAATCTGCCCTCGGAGTCCACAGATTAGCATAGGAAAGTAGGAAGTTGGCTCAGCCACTCCCCGACATTCCCGTCCATCCGGAGGTGGGGACCAAGGAGCGGCAGACACCGAGAAACCTTTCACCCTAGACTTAAGACTGGTAGCCGATGCTAATCATCTTTTACATGGTTAATGGTGCCCAAATTTTATGAGATAAAAAAAAGTGCAGCATTAAGTCAGGAATAGGAGTGAAGCGTGGATCTCCTACCTTGCCGTGGTGAGCATCAGGTTCCTTGAAACTGATGAAGTTAGAGGCACACAGAGTGCGTGTAAAGGAAGTAAAGAGCATCCTTGTCTCACCCAGAGGCCAGGGCAGCCTGAATAAGTAGGCTGGGAGTCAGAGAAGAGACAGAGAGACACTCCTCATGGACACCCAGTCGGGCTGTTGGGGCCTGATTCCAGATATGCGGGCCTTTGAGAAGCCGCTGAAGTGCAGCGTCAGCCTAGACCCTCACAGTTGCCCAGGGCCTTCCTCAGTCCTTCGCATCCAGGGAGATGCCTCTGAAGGGGAATCCTGGCCTCCACTCAGGTGAGTTTTCCAGCTCCCAGGGGAGACGGGGGATCCACTGAGGGAGACACAGGGGAACCTGTCACTTGGGACTTTGAGATCAGCAGCTGGGCTAGTCCCACTTAAGTGGCTGATGAGAGCCTGATGCTGTGAGCCATAGACGGCTTCCTTCTATGAGGACAGTGAGAGAAAAGGCAGGCTCAGGTGCCGATACTCATCTCTGAAGATATCCCGGAAGAGCCCCCAAAGATGATGCTGGGGTTCTTGTTCCCAGAGCAAAGAATGAACTTAGCAAACACCCAAGGTAGGAGAGCCAGGGAGAGGACAGAGCTCCTGGCTCAGGCAAGGATGGACAAGAGAGCCCCTAGTTTTATTATTAAGTTTTGCAAAATTGTCCTCTATAAGGCTTATGTCATTTTTGCATTTCCATGGCCAATGTATGAAGATCCCTACAGCCCCACCAATACACGGTTACCATCAAGCTCTTGAGTTTTTGCCAAGCTGATGAGAAATGGTATCTCAGCATAGCTGTAATTTGCATGTATCTTAAAATGAGTGAAGTTGAACATCTTTTCATTTCTGCTTACCTCTTTTGGTAAACTGTCTGATCATGTCTTTGTCCACTTTTCTGTAGGATTTGTTTTCCCTTTGCTTTTTAAAAAACTCTTATAAAATGGGGATATTACTGTTTTATCTGTAAAATATGTTGACATATATTGGCACATACTTTTCTTCCAGTCATCTGTCTTCTGTTATTATGGCATTTTTTGCCAGTCAAGTGTTTAAATTTTTGTATACCAACTTTTATTAATCTTTTATTGTCTCTGGATTGAGGCCTGGGGGAAATTATCTTGCAGTAACCATTCAGTGTCCAAGGCAAAGGGACACAGCCAGCTGTGGGTGAGGTGTCTGCCAGGGACATCTGTACTAGGTTTCCCTGGGACATATGGGCTCTGGGGATCAGACAGTGAGGCAGTGGCTAAAGGGGCAATGCCTGGCCTGGATATAAAGACAGATACTCCAGATCTTTACCCTTGACAGGAAGACGAGGGAGGGTGGTGGCTGAAGGCCATGGGGCTGGGTCTCTGGCATATACATGTGTAGCTAATAGGATAGGACCTCAGGCTGCAGGGCTCAGTGCTAATACACTGCCCTTCATCCTGCCCTTGGGGGAGTCTGTCTGTGTGGCTTGGGCTCATATGGCTGTTAGAAGGCTCAAGAAAGGGTGAGGATGAAGGCCACCATTAACTGCTCTCCCCTCCCACAGGAGTAGAGCCCAAACAAATACACAGCGACTCTCCTGTGTCTCCCAAGAGACTGAGTACCTTGGAATTCTCAACAGGTGAGTTGAGGTACATAACCAGGTGTGCAGCTTTGTAAAGAAGCAGGTTTTTAAAGCAAAGGCCATAAAATACAGAGGACTGCTGCTTAGACAGGAGACCATAAACTATTTCAGGAACACTGAAAGAAAGCAACATGTTTTTCTACATTTTGGGAAAGTGGAACATTTCCTAACAATTTCTGTCTTCACATTCATGGGGAAAGGAAAGGTAAGAACAACTCTTTATGTCAGGAGCTGATGGCCAGATAGGAATTTGGGGTGGGGAGGGTCCAGAGGATAGAGGGCTATGTGCTGAATTTCACCCTTCCCAAAGTCACAGGTTGACGTTCTAATCCCTAATGTTGACAGTACTTTGGATATAGGGCTTATAAGGAAGTAATTTAAGTTAATGGTGTCATATCATAGGGTGGGTCCCTAATCTGCCAGGGCTGGCATCCTTATAAGAAAGGGTAAGAAACTCCAGAGCTTGCTTGCTCTCTGGCATGTAAGCACAGGAAAGGCCTGGTGAGGAGAGAAGGTGGCCCCTCTGCAGGCCAACAAGAGAGGCTTCAGTAGAAAACACCCTTCAACACCTTGATCTTGGACTCCAGTCTGCAGAACTATGGGAAAATAAATTTGTTGCTTAAGCTGCCCAGTCCCTGTTGTTATGGCAAAAGAAAACAAGTTAGATACTACTATAATATCTAAAAATATGGAGGTGGCTTGGAACTGGGTGGTGGGAGAATTTTCAGGCACTTGTTAGAAAAAGCCTGGATTGCCTTGAAGAGGTCATGGTGGTAGTGTGGACATTAAAAGTGATTCTGGTGTGGTCTCAGATGGAAATGTGAAATGCTACTGGAAACTGGAAGAAAGTTCTGTTATAAGTGGCAAAGAACTTGGCCAAATTGTGTTCCAGTGTTTTGTGGAGAGTAGAGACTGTAAGTGGCATAAGTGATGATATTTAGCTGAGGAGAATTTTCTAAGAAAGGTGTTGAAGGTGTGGCCTGGTTTCTCCTTGCCCCTTATAGTAAAATGTGAGGCTCACCAAAGGAATTGTTTAGTGAAAACGAATGAGATCTTGAAGATTTAGAAAATTATCAGCCTATCCATATTGCAAAAAATGAAAAAGTACATTCTGGAAAAAACACCAACAGCGTTGCTGGACAATCATTTGATTAAGAGATTAATTTGGAACCAATCGACCATCTCAGTTGATATTCTGTAGGCTGGATTAAGGTAATATATATGGGACAAAATGGAGGCAGGCGGACAGACTTCTGCAATGCTGCAGGGACAAGAGAGCTCTGGCTGCACTTGTGTTATCCTTCAGGAAGATGAAAAAGTGACCCAGAGGGGAAACAGAGATCAGCAGCTCTGCCATTTCCACGGTGGGTCCAGAGTGGACAAGCTGAGGGGCCGGTACATTTCCTTGTCGTGTCAGCGGGCCAAGGCAGCATCGCTGCCGCACCCGTGGGGCCAGAGGGCAGAGCATCCACCTGAAGATCATTCTCAAGCCTTAGAGCTTAAAAGATTTGCCTTGCTAGCTTTTAGACTTGCTTGGGATCCATGAATCCTTCCTTCTTCCCACCTTTGGAATGGGAACGTGAACTCTGTCCCACTATTTTATGTGGAAGCAGATGTCCCGTCAGGGTCACAGGCTCACAGCTGGATGGGAGTTTTCCACAGGAAGACATGCACTGTAGTCTCACCCACACCTGATCTGGATGAGCTTTTAGACAGAACTGGTGCTGGAATGGGTTAACTTTGGAGGCTGTTAAAATGGGGTGAATGTGTTTTTTATGTGAGAAGAACATGAATTCTGGGGTCCACAGGGATGAGAGGTATGGAGTGAATTGTTCTCAAATTCGTATGTTGAAGGCAGAACCCACAACATGACTTTATCTGATGACAGGGCCTCTCAAAGGTAAATGTTATGAGGTGGTAAGGATGGGGCCCTATCAGAGTATATATGGTATCCTCAGAAGAGGGAGACACCAGGCAGGCACACACGCAGCCAAAGGCCAGGTGAGGACACAGCCAGAATGCAGTCATGTGCAAGCCAAGGCAAGAAGCCAGGAATCAAACTGCCTACACGTTGACCTTGAACCTCCAGTTTCAAGAACTGTGAGAAATAAATTTTTCTTCTAAAGAACCAAGTCTGTGGAATTTTGTTATGACAGCCCTAGCAAATTAAACACATTGTTACTGAGAAAATAAACCATAAATCAATGATTTTATGATCACTGAAAGAATGCAATATATTTTTTGCTCCACTGCATCTGAGGAAAGCAGAATGTTTCCAAGCAATTTCTGTCATCTTCACACCCCAGGAGAGGAAAGGAAAGGTCAGAACAGCTCTTGTGGCAGGAGATGATGGCCAGACTTGGTCCTCCTATGCCTGTGGAGGTGAGACTTCTGGCTAAAGCCACGGCCACACTCTCTGCACACATATGGCTTCTCCCCCGAATGGGTGCGCTGGTGTCTGATGAGGGCTGAGTTGAAGCCAAAGCTGCGCCCACACTCACCACACACACATGGCTTCCCTCCTGAGTGTGTCCTCTGGTCAGAGGCAAGGTGGGACTTCTGGCCAAGTCCCTGCTCACACACTCCATGCACATCAGTCGCCACCACTGAGTGAGTCCTCTGGTGTCTGGTGAGGAGTGACTTGAAGCCAAAGGTGCAGCCACACTCGGGGCACAGGTAAGGCCTCTCCCCTGTGTGCGTCCTCTGGTGTCTGATGAGGTTGACTTTCTGGCTAAAGCCATGCCCACACTCGGCACAGACATAAGGCCTCTCCCCTGTGTGTGTCCTCTGGTGTCTGATGAGGGAGACCTTCTGGCGAAAGCCACGCCCACACTCGGGGCACAGGTAAGGCCTTTCCCCTGTGTGCGTCCTCTGGTGTCTGATGAGGGTGACCTTCTGGCGAAAGCCACGCCCACACTCGGCACAGACATAAGGCTTCTCCCCTGAGTGTGTGACCTGGTGATTGAGGAGCAGCAACTGGTGCCTGAAGCTGCACCCACACTCTGGGCACAGGAAGGGCCTCTCCCCTGAATGTGAGCTCCGGGGCTGGAGGAGCGATGCCTTTTGGCAAAAGCCTCTCCCACACTCGGGACACATGAAGGACGTCTCCTCCAAGTGTGTCCTCTGGTGCAAGATGAGGGCGATCTTTTGTTGAAAGCCTCGCCCACATTCCCCACAACTATAAGCCTTCTCCCCTGAGTGCGTCTTCTGGTGCTTGGTGAGGTCCGACCTCTGGCAGAAGCCTCTGCCGCATTCAGGGCACTCATGATGCGTCTGCAGGCCAAAGAGGCAGGATGTCCTGCCAAGTCCTAGTCTACAGCTCCCGTGGGCGGCTGCTCCAGCACCGGACATGTCTGCCTCCTCAGCGCTCATGCCCTGCTCCAGTCCTCCATGAACGCTGCCTTCCACCCGATCTACCCGCTGACCCTGAGACAGGCTGAAGAGCATCCTGGAAGTCCCACTTGGCTGCAGCCTCAGCAACACAGTGCCAGAGGCTTTTCTCTCCCCATCTTCGGCCTTCTCACTCATGCAGTCTGGAGCCTCTAGTGGGAAGTATTTCCCCACAGAAGAGCTTGGGAAGACTTGAGAGGGCTGACTGCACAGCACAGATGGTCTGAGAAACTGTGGACTGGAAAAGGCCACTGGGCAGGAAGGACATGGCTGGAGTTCTGTTCTTGTTTCTGGTGGAGAGAAAGTCTTGGTCAAAATTCCCACAGGTACCTTGTGGATGGTCACACTTGCCCAACAGGCATCCTCAGCTATTAATACAACAAAGATCTTCACAGACCTACCTCCAACCCATGGTGATACATTAATGCACATCCTGTCACAACACAGAAAATGCACATGACAAAACAGCTCTGTGCCAGGTATCAGTCCCAGACACTGCTGTCCCTGGAGTCCTGCGTTCTCCCTACTACCATTATCTTACGAGCCACAGGCTTTAACGTTGACATAAAAGCTATGCAGGAAGATGTACTTCAACTGATAGTTAAACTGACTTTTTACTGGTTTCTTAAGTGACTTTTCCTATAAGAAACAGAGTAACTAAAAGAAGCTGCCCTACCAAGATCCTCCCTGGGAGAAGCAGTGAAAAGGAGAGTGAGAGATCCACCGGAAAATGAACCAGAAGGTGTCTCCAAGTCCTGAACAAGTACTTCCTAGAGGATTATGTACGGAGTTCTCTAACAGAAGATGGGGATGTGGCAATGGAACACTGAGATATATATAGTCTAGGCCTGTGACCCCTTAAAGGAGTCTGGCTACTGGTGACCCCAATAATCCAAAACCTGCTTTTCTCAGTCTTCTATAAATTATTGTAAAAGTAAAAATTCCCACTTAAAATAGCTCTTGCCTAGGAGTTATCTGAATGCCTTGCTCCATTACACTGGTTCTATCCGCCTGCAGCTGATGAAAAATACCACGACCTTTGAATAAATGCAGTGTAGCAGGCCTTTCCTCACCTGACCCTTCACCAAGCAACATTGAGATATACTTCATGAACTATCTACACCTGGGCCAACAACTTATAGCCTGCCAGTGTCATGTAAATAAACATCTGTTGGACCACAGCCACCCTCATTCTGCACGGTGCCCAAGGCAGCTTTCTCACCACCAGAGTGAAGGAGCTGCCACAAACATGAAGACAAAGGCTAAAATACTTACTATCTGGCCCTTCACAAAAGTTTCTCAAACCCTGATCTACCATCTGGCCTAAGAAGCTAGCTTCCATTACTAACAAGAATAGCCACCATGAAACTCACTTCCTGACACTTAACACCCTTACATTTCCTTCTCAGCAAACTTACTCGGTAAGCTTAGCTCTGTGTGTGTGCGCATGTACGTCCCTAGACCCAGAGGCTCCTGTGGGATGGCCTTGGCTGTCACTTGCCAGTGCGGACCCCATTGGACTTTCCAAAGTGAAAGGGAGCCCCTCAGGCCTGGTGGCAGCTCTGGCTTCCATCAGTGATGTGCACTGGTCTGGCTCGCTAGCCCTAAGTCCGCTCTGCTCAGCCAAGCAGTCCGTATCACAGCTCCTGGCAGACACGTCATTTCTGCCAGCAGTTTCCAATAAACGCTCTGTTGTGACTCTAACATTCTGACAGCTGAGCTTTCATTGTGAGCTACTGTCTGCTCATCTGTGATTTGGTGTGAAGAGAAAAGCAGCCACTGCCTTCCCCTCAGTGTGCTTATAGACCACTGGGTCACAGAACCAAACGGGCCGGGGTAAACTGCACATCACTACAGGCAGGCCTTTCAGCAGCAGGGGAATCACTTTTGCAGGTCCTCCGTATTAAATATGGTGACTGGTGTAAATACAGTTAATGTCACCTTGTAGGAACAAGTCTCTAATAGGAATATTCACCCATCACAATGTTCGTGCCTAGTGAGTCAAGTGGCAAATTTTAACTAAAAATGATTTAGAATTTTAGTGTCCACTTTGGGAAACTCTTAAAATTTAACATAGTTTTAAGCAGCTAGAAGTTCTAGAATAAAAGGAGAAATAAAAATAGATTTTTACCAACATAATGCTTTTCAGTTAATCTTAAAAATTCCCAGATGTGGAATAAAATTACTCAGTTTATAAGCTCCTAAAATCTACAGCACTCTTGTGCTGATTCACTTTCCAGGCCAATAAGCATTTTAATAATTGCCCATGAGCTTTTCCAAAGAGAAAAAAGTGGCTCCTTAAAGAAAATGGTCCTCCTGCAGCTGCAGTTGAGAGGGATAAAAGTATAGCTGTGGATTAGAACAATGGCCTTACCTGCAGCTCAGTAGAGAAGCAATGGTGGGCACTCACTGCTTTTAAGCAATTTAAAGAATTTTAAGACTTGATCCATAATGTAGAAGCGGGACATTTTCAATATCAATCAGAATCCCTGGAAACTGGGCAACTTTGACAGTATATCATCTCCAGGATTCATGACAACACAAAAGACATTAGCATTTGTGATAGTTAATTCAGTGTGACAGCTTGGCTGGCTACAGGATGCCCAGACATTCAGTCAAACATATTGAGTGTTTGTGGATGACTTTAACATTAAAGGGACAGACGGAGTAAAGCAGACTACCCTCCCTAATGTGGTGGCCCTCATCAAATCAAAAGTCTGACCCTGTCCCAAATGAGAGGGAACTCCTCCTGCCTGCCTGCCTTCAAACCGAGCCAGAGAATGGGGACTTTTTCCTGCTTTTGTACTGAAGTGAAACATCAGCTCTTCTGGGTGCTGAGCCTGCCAAGCTTTGGGTGGAACTACACAATCTGCTCTTGAAAGGCCTTTATCTTCCTGCCTGCATGACCTTGGAACTTCTCAGCCTCCATAACCACATGAGCCAACTGCTTATAATTATCTCGTGTGTGTGTGTTTGTGTGCCTGTATATGCATATGCATGTATACACGCACAGGCACACACAACCTATTGGTTCTGTTACTCTGGATACTGATTTCTGTTACTCTGGATTCTGAACCCTAATACTGATTTTGGTACCAGGAGTCGGGTGCAACTCTAACAGAAACCTTAAACTGTAAGTGGCTTTGGAATTGGGAGATGGAAAGAGGCTGGAAGGGTTTTGAGGCACATCCTAGAAAAAGCCTTGGTTTAAGCTTGTTAACTAGTATAAGTTAGTATAAGCTTGTTCATAACATTCCTTTATTATCCTGTTCAAGTCTTAAGGATTTGTAGTGACAACTTCCCTTTCATTTCTCAATTTATTCATGTCTTCTTTCTATCTAGGGATACACAATTTTGTTGAAATTTTCAGAAAATCAATAATTGGCTTTGTAATTTTTTAAATGTTGTTAAGCTGTGTGGAATTTCATTGATTCCTGCTCTTATTTTCATTATTCCCTTCCTTTTACTCCTTCCCCCATCGATCCTAACATTTAAGTAGAAATGCAGAGGACCTACACTATCCCAAGCAATCTTGCAAAAGAAAAACAAAGGGAGAGGATTTATACTACTTCAAGACTTCCTACGTCCTACTAATACAGATGTGTAGTTTGGTTTAAGGATACACATATTAATCTCAGGAACAAAATAGAGAGTGTAAAATTTAGGCAGTCATTGGATTTTCAACAAAGCAATCCAATGAGGGGAAGGCAACAAATGGTGCTACAGCCAATGGATCTCCAGATGAAAAAGAAAAATAAATTTTCGTCTTTGTGTCACACCCTTCATAGCAGTGAGTTCGAGAAAGATCATAGACCTAAATGTAAAAGCTAAACCTAATACAGCATTTAGAAGAAGATATATATTATCTTCCTGAGAAAAATTTAAGAGGAAAATTAGACTTCTTCAAAATTAAACATCTGCTCATCAAAAGTTATTGTTTAAGGAAATGAACAGAAAAGTTTCAGACTAAGGGAAATACTCGCAAAATGTACAGATGACAAAGGACTGATGTCCAGGATTAATAAAGAAAGAACTGAACAACTTAAAAAAATGCAGTAAAGTTGGAAAAAAGGTCTGAATAGATACTTCAGAAAGTAAGATACATGATACATGTGAATGAGCAAAAAAGCATGCAGAAATTGCGCGACATCATGAATCATCAGGAAACAAATTAAACCCTCATGAGACCACCACATATCCACCTCAGTAGATACAACGGAAACTGCCAGGGAAGACGTGAGGCAATAGGAACTCTGTGTTATTCATGGAAGTGAAAAATGGCACCACTTTGGGAAAGGTCTGGTCATTTCTCATAAAACTACACATACATTTACCCTATGACCCAAGGTACTGGGCTGAACAATATCCCACCAAAATTCACATCTATCTGGAACATGTGAATGTGGCCTTATTCGGAAATAGGGTCACAAGAGAAGATGAGGTCATACTGGATCAGGGTGAGCCTTCCCAGCACCTGGTGTTCTCACAAGAGGGAGATGTGGGTACAGAGACACACAGAATGAAGATCGCTACATGCCCGTGGAGGCAGAGATGGGAGTGACATGACATGATAAGGACTGCCGGGAGAGAGGTGAGGAACACATTCTCTCTCAGAGCCTCCAGAAGAAATCGGCCCTGCTGACAGGTTGATTTAGAATTTCTGGCTTCTGATCTGAAAGAGAATAATTTTTTTTTGTTTTAACGCTCTCAGGTCGTGGTAATTTGTCACAGCAACCCTAGGAAACTAATATATCCACCCTATACCCTAGGTATTTATCCAAAGGAAATGAAAAAATTTTTACCAACAAAACAAAAACCTAGAATAAGAACGTTAATAGAAGCTTTTTCAAAATAACAAAAACTGGACCTCACCAAAGTATCTGTCCAGGAGAATGGACAGTTATATATTCAGACAATGGGATACTAGCCAGCATTCAAAACAGAATACTAACGTATGCAACAACATGGATGAAGCTTAAGAACTTTATACTGAGCGCAAGACTTATACAAAAAAATACACGTTATATGATTACATTTATGCAAAACTGTGTGGCAGGCAAAACTGGCTAGGGTGAAATACAGTCAGACCAGTGGTACCTTTGAGGGATGGGACTAGGGGTTTACTGGGATAGGCCACAAGGGAATGATCTGGGGTGACAGTAATGACTGGTATTTTGATAAAGTTTAGGTTGTAGAGGTATATGCATTGTTTGAGCTTGTAGACTTAAGATTTTGCATTTCCTATGCATTCCTAAATTCCACCTAAAAAGAAAAAAAAACCACTCTAGTTAATGATATGCATGCTACCCATTACTTGTGGGGCCCACCTCACTGAGATGAACTGCCAAGGTGTTGTCTGGAGATGCTCCAGTGGATACCCTGGCCCTGAGTCCGCAGGTCCTTCCCGCCAAGTGTGCACATGAGTCGACTCAGTAGGAGACTATACCTTTTCCTCCCACCTTTGTTAGACCATCTTTGCCAGGACCACTTGGTGGTCAGATCAGATCTTAATTCACACTCACAACCCCTCTGCCAGATAGAGTGTCGAGAAGGAGGAGCAGAGGCTAAGGACACAGCCATCCCTGAACAGGACCTCATAAGCTCTTTACCTACCTCCTGGAAGAACAGCAGGCTCTTTGTGAAGAAGGGGAAAGCTTTACAAAGTACACTTACTCAGATATGCTCTGCTACCCAGTGCTCCCTGAGAGAACTGCTTCACTAAGCTCCTCATTCTTACCAGCCAAGGAGATATTTGCTAGAAATCTGTCAGCATGAACAAAATAAAAAATAGTGCTAATGCCAAATGCTGGCAAGAATGCAAAGAAACTGGATCAAACAGTGCTGGTGGGAACATAATATGTTCTAACCTTTCTGAACATGAGTATGGCCCTTTTTTTCACCAAACTAAACATATGCTTACCACATGACCCAGCAACTGCCCTCTTGGGCACTTACCAGAAATGAAAACACTATGTTCACACAAAAAACCTGTACACAAATGTTTAGAGCGCTTTATTTATACTAGCCCCAACTGCAAACAGCCCAAATATCCTTCAGTGGGTGAATGGTTTAACAAACTGTGGTACTACTTGGCAATAAAAAGAATGAGTCATTGGTACATTCAACAATTTAGATGGATCGCAAGAGGATCATGCTACATGAAAGAAAGGCAATCCCAAAATGTGACATCTATGTGATTTACAGAGCATTCCTGAAACTACAAACCTTAGAGACAGAGAACAGATCAGTGGTTTCCAGAGGCAGACAGGGAGGAGGGAAAAGAGTGGCTACAGGGCACACAAGGGGCCAGCGATGCAGCTATTCTGCACCTTTAGACACAGTGGTGGTTACACGAACAGACCTGGTTCAAAACACACACACACACAAGTGAAGGTGAAACTGAGTGAGATCTGAATGAGCTCAGTGCATTGTATTAATAGAAAAACAAGGCTTGTTTAACAAGGAAAAAATCAGTGAATTCAACTTAGAAGACCAAAAAAAAAAAAAAGAAAAAGACATGGTCATTTAAAAATGTGTCAAAAAATTTTTGACAATCCCAACATCCATTCCCAATTAAAACTCTCATCAAAAAGGAATAAAAGAGAAGTCTGTCAAGCTGATAAGAGGCAGCTATAAAACTTACACTTAGGAGGAAAGTATTTCCCTGTAAGATCAGGAACAAAGAAAAGATGTTCACTCTCACCATTTAAATTAATCACCACACTGGGTGTTCTCACCTGTGCAATGAGGCAAGAAAAAGAAATTGAAGACATACTGAATGCAAAAAAAGAAGTAAAACTATACTTATTCACAAATAACATGATCATCTGTACAGAAAATCCTACAGAATCTACAAGAAAAGGTAGTAGAGCTAAGGAATAAGTTTTGCAGGTTTACTGGATACAAGATCATTATATATAAATTAATTGTATTTATATGTACTATCAACAAACAATTAAAATTGAAATTTGAAAATAGCATCAAAAATATAAAATACAGAGGGATAAATGTGACAAGATGCAAAAGACCTGTGCAGTAAAAACTATAAAAACAATGCTGACAAAATATGAAGTCCCATAAAAATATTGAGATATACTGGGTATATATATTGGATGACACAGTATTATTAACATGCAAATTCTGCACAAATTGATGCAGATTCAACCTAATCCCAATAAAAATTTCAGCAAGATTTTTTGTGAAAATTTCCAAACTGATTCTAAAACCCATATGGAAATGCAAAGAAACTCGAATAGTTAAAACAATTCTAAAAAAGAAAAAAATGTTGGAGGACTTATACTATGAGTTCCAGACTTATTATAAAGTCACATTAATCAAGATTATGTGGTATGGGCATCATGAGAGACAAAGGGAAGAATGGAAAAAAACAGTCCAGATACAGACCCACAGTCAACTGCTTTACCACAAAGGTGTACAGGCAACTCAGTGAAGGAAAGATTGTCTTATCAATATGTGGTGCCAGAAAAATTGGGTATTCAGATACAAAAAAACCCCACAAATGTACTTAAATCCAAACCTGGTACTAAGTATAAGAACTTACTCAAAATAAGTTATAGAACTAAATGTACAAAAAAATTATAAAGCTTCAAAAAGAAAAAATATGGGAAAATCTTTTTTACCTTAGGCTAGGCAAAGATTTTTTAAAGCATTAAAAGTGAAACACATGGGAGAAAAATTGAAACTTCGGTCTCCACCAAAGTGAGGAATTTCTCTTAGAAAGACACTATTAAGAGAATGAAAAGCAAACCATAGAGGAAATATTTGTAAATTGCACATCTGATAATGGACTTCTATACAGAGTATATGAAGAACTTTCAAAACTCAGTAACAAAAAAATAAGAAACCAATTTTTTGCATGGGCAAAAGATTTGAGAAGACATTTCATCAAAGATATCCAGATGGCAAATAAGCACATGATGAGTCTCAACATCATCAGTCATTAGGAAAATGTCAATTAAAACCATAGTAAGACGACACTACACAGTTTTCAGAATGTCTAAAATTAAAATAATAATACCAAGTGTTGACAAAAATAAGGAGTATATGGAACTCTTATACACTGCCAGTGGACATGTGAAATGGAGCAGCCACTTTGGAAAATAGGTTATAAGTTTTGTAAAACATAAAATGTACACTGTATCATACAACCCAGCCATTCCAGTCCCAGGTATTTATCCAAAGGAAATGAAAGCATATGTCTATACCAGAACTTTTCATGAATGTGATCACATAAGCTTTATCTGTATTCATCAAAGCTGGAGATTAACCAAATATTTTTCAGTAGGTGAATAGTTAAGTAGTGATATCTATATAATGAGCTACTACTCAGCAATAAAAAGAAAATGCACTATTGATGGAATTCAAAATAATTACGTTAAGTAAAACAATCCAGTATGTACTCTGTATAATTCAATTTACATGAGTTCTAGGAAATGCAAATAAATCTATAATGATAGAAAGCAGATCACTGGTTGCTGGGTTTGGGGAGGAGGGGAAAGACAGGGAGGGGTAGGAGACAGGAATTCCAATGAGGTACAAGGAAACAGGGGTGACAGGTTTGCCTGGTATGTGGATCATGGTGATGGTTTCCTGGTGCGCACATATATCAAAACACACGAAATTTTATACTTTCAATATATGCAGTTAATTATACTTTGACAATATACCTTGTAATTATCCCTTAACTATTGACTATAATAGCACCTTATGCCATGATAACATATCTTTATATTATACTATAATTATAGCTTATGTTGTAGTTCTTTTTAAAAGAATATAAAAGCACTAAGTCCGCTGTAAAAGTACAAGTACAGATATATGACTGTATTTAGAAGCAAACAAATAACAAAAGAAAAATAAAATGCTAGGAATGTTGGAAATAAGAGAATGAAAAAAGATAATTCAGCCAAAAATCTATCCTTCCCTTCCAACAGTCACATAAGATTAACTCCAGATGGACTGAAGACCTAAGTGTTCCCAGAAATTATATGGAATTGCTACAAATCAGTAACAGAAAGAAGCAGCCAAATGAAAAGGAGGTAACACCCTGAATGGTCAAACTGCAGGAGAGGAAACACCAATGCCAGTCAACAAAGCAAAAGGTGCTCATGTTCAATGGAAAGCAAAACCCTTCTGAGATTCCAATGGAGATCAGACAAATGGGTGAAAAAGAAGGCCTGTCAATACCTAGTGCCTGTGACAACGTGAACAAGAGCTCTCATCACAGCTGCAGGTAGTGTCAAGTAGTGAAACGACTTCAGAACAGTGGGGCATAACCTCATCAGGTTGAGGCCACACATGCCTGTGAAGTAGCCCCAGTGCCCCTAGGTGTGAACTGTGAGAAAAACTCTTTCAAATTTTCAAGAAAGTAACAAGAATACACAGCAACATTACTTAATAGCCAAAAATTGGAAATAACCAAAATGTCCAAATGATAATTCAAGTGCATTAAAACAGCAATATTCATATAAAAGTATAAACTAAACCTATACATTTTACCATGAGCTTCATATAAAGCTGGGAGAAGAGTATGTTCTGGAAGGATGTGTATATTACAATTCTTTAGGCAGAGAAGTTTGTAAACTGAAAGAACCCAACAAGTGCAAAGAAGCAGCATGGGAGCTAATGCAGAAATGGGACTCTCCAGGCCAGGTTGCAGAAGCAGGACAGCCAGGGAAGGCCAAGGGCTGTCCCCAGCCTTTTAACATTCTATTCTTAGACTACAGGGAAGGCCCACTGGCACTCACTGTATAATTTGTCACAACCTCTTGTAATCTTAAATAACCCATCATAAAATAAAAGAAACAAAGTTGTGGGAATTTATGAGGTAGAACCAATGTACAAAACAGCTGCTAGGTTAAGAATGGAAGCTAGACAGTATCTAGCAGATGACTTAATCTCAGAGGAAAGGGCTATGGTCAAGGTCAAGCCACCCAAACAAAGCCCAAGAATGGGGAAGTCCCAGAACATGCTGGGGAAGGATGGCCAAGTGAGCTGTGAGGCTCCTTGGGTGAGGCAGGGGAATCCAGGGGAGCCCTGTACAGGGTGAGCAGGATGGCAGAGCTGGGGTCCTGGAGAAACTGAGAACCTCGATGTCCTGTCTCCTTGCCTGCCCGCTGCTCCCCACTCACCTGGACAAACGCCCAGAAGACATTCACTCTCCTCTCTCCAGGGCTCATCCCCTTCCTCCAGTTGTGTGATGAGTTTTGGTTTGGAAAAGGCAACGCCTACTTACAGGGAAAAAAAACAAGGTGGCCTTGGGTTAGTGGTTTAAGAGGCTATCACTGAACTCAAGTCTGCAGGGGAAGGCAGTAACCCAGAAGGGAGTCGGGGGGCTCAGGGTGGGCAGCAAAGCCTCTCTGAAAGCTGAGAAAGGACAACTCCAGAGACGGGGATCCTAGATCCAAAGGCAGTACATACTGATTCTCCCAAACTGAAGCAAACACATCTCCCACTTGAAGCAAGATCACTTAGGAGGAGGGGCCCGGCTTTGGAAGAGGCCTGGAAATGCACATCAGACACTACACACACATTCCCTATTTTCAACTCTATAGAATCCAGACTTTCTCCAGGAGTACAGGGAAAACACTGCTTTTCTTTCTGAGCCAAAAGGACAGCAGCTGCGACATTAAAATCTTGATGCTCACAGGCAGTGTGAGACCTGAGACTGGCCATCCTTACCCAGAGACACCAAGTGGCTGTAGTTCTCCAGCATTACCTCCCGATACAGGGTCCTCTGAGCAGGACTCAGCAGTTGCCACTCGTTCTGGGTGAAGGCCACAGCCACATCCCTGAAGGCCATGAATGCCTGTAACACAAACACACTGCTGCTCATCCAGGAGCCAGCCACACCCACTAGTCAGCCAAAGCCACTAAATAGGGCTGAGGCAGCCAGAAGGCTGGTGTGGGACATCCAGGTGAGATCCATAGATCCTGCTTTTAACCTGAACCTGGTGCCATGTGTTCAAGGCTATTAATCCCTTTTCCATTGCTGGTGGATCTACTTAGGGGTTCTCTATTCTGCTCTATTGATCTCTATGGCGCCTGTCAAAAACCCAGTTTTGATTACTATAGCTACAAAGTAGGTCTTGCAATTAGGTAAAGTAATTCTCACCTTTATTCATTTTAAAGGATATTTTAGCTATTCTAGAGCACATGCCTTTCCATATAAATTTTGGAATAACCTTGTCTATATCTACTAAAAAACCTTGCTGGAATTTTGGTAACATTTGCAATAAACCTGTATATCAATTTGGGGAGAACTGGCATCTTTACTATGTTGACTCTTCAAATCCATGAACCATGATTATGTCTCCATTTACTGTAATGTTCTTTTATTTCGTCATCAGCATTGTCCTTTTCAGCACACAGATCCATATTTATTTTTGCTAGATTGACACCTAATAATTTTTTATTTTTTAGTGGTTTTAGTGATTTACTATTGTATTTTTAATTGCAATGATCATGCGTTAATTGCTGTGATGCAGAAAAACTGATTGTTTATCTTGAATCCTGCAACCTGGCTAAACTTACTTATTAGCTCTAGTCGTTTTTTTCTAGGTTACTTGAGATTTTTCTACATAGGCAATCCTGGCACCTGCATAAAGGGGCAGATTTATTTCTCCCCTTATAATCTGTATGCATTTTATTTCCTCTTCTTGCCTTACAGTAGAATTTCTAGCACAATCACGAGTAAGACTGGTGACAGCAAACTGCTTTGCTACTTGAGATTTTTCTACATAGGCAATCCTGGCACCTGCATAAAGGGGCAGATTTATTTCTCCCCTTATAATCTGTATGCATTTTATTTCCTCTTCTTGCCTTACAGTAGAATTTCTAGCACAATCACGAGTAAGACTGGTGACAGCAAACTGCTTTGCTTTGTCCTTGACATGAGGCAGAGAGCATCATGGCTCACAGTGTTGAGAACACTGTCCCACAGTGAGGTGCCTCTGCATATCAATCTGGATAGCTATTATCAAAGAAAGGGAAAAGGAGTTTGGGCAGGGTGTGAAGGGATTGGAACCTTTGTGCATTGCTGGTGGGAAATATAAAATGGTGCCCTTTCTGTGGAACAGACTTCAGCCTTTCCTCAGAAAGTTAAATATAAAATTTACCCTATGATCCAGCAATCTCACTCCGAGGAATATATGCCAAAGAACTGAAAACAGCGACTCAAACAGGTACTTGTACACCAGTGTCCATAACATAACGGCATTATTCACAATAGCTCCACGCAAATGTCCACCAACAGATGAATAAAAAAAACGTAGTATCTACACACAGTTTTAAATTATTCTACCTTAAAAAGGAAATTCTGATACATGCTACATCAGGGATTAACCTTGAAAACATTATCCTGGCTGAAATAAACCAGTCACAAAAGGACAAATACTTTTTGATTCCACTTACAGCAGGTACTGAGAACAGGCATATTCATAGAGACAAAGTAAAACAGAGGTCATCAGTACCTTGGGAGTGATGAGGGATGGGGAGTTATTATTTTAATGGACAGAGTTTCAATTGGGGAAGATGAAAAAGCTCTGGAAATGGAGAATGATGTGATTACATAAATGGTTAAAATAGCGAATTTTATGTTATGTGTATGTTAACAATAAAAATGATTACTGTTACAGATTTTTTGTAGATGTCCCTAATCAAGTAGAGGAGTTCCCCTCTGTTTCTATTGTTCTAAGACCTTCCCCACTCTGGGTAAAATTTCAACATTTCCAGAATATCTCACTTGGCTTTGGTTCATCTGCATATCCTCACCAGGCTTGCTTGCTCTCTTCTTCCAGAACTGAGGAGACTGCCCTTGACTGCAGCTTCTAAGCAATAAATGGGTTTTAAACTTTATTTCTCCCTTTGATTGATTTTGGTTTTCGGAGGTATTTTGCCCTGGTATTTCCACTCCCCAGGTTTACATTCTGGCACAGTCGGCAGGGTGCCTCTGAACCCGAAATCTGTCATAATGGTGCGACCTTGGGAGGGCCGCTCATGTGGATGGTGGGGAGGCCCCAAGCGGATGCAGTGGCAAAAGGTGCCGCTTAACCTGTTATTATCCCCCCAGCTGTGGGGCTTCCAAGTTGGGAGCCCCTGGTGGGGAGTTGGTCTAGGGTAAAGTACCTCTTAGAGGGGTGGTGCCTTCCCCAGTACTGGGGAAAGGTGGAAACACCAGATGCTGCAGAGTTAGCTCCCCCGTAAGTTGGAAGACTGCTTGGAGACCTTAGGGGGCCATGTAGTGGCTGGCGTTATAGGGTCTCTTTTCATCCAGGTAGTGGAAAATGTTATAAGGAGAAAGAGAGGATTATTGAGAGGGTTAGTGAGGAGAGAGAGGGACTTGGGTGAGTGAGAGACACACTTCAGCATCGCTTGGAGGAGCTGGGTGATAACCTACGGGATGCGATTAAAGAAGAGAGACAGTTACTGAAAAGGCAGGTCACGCTCCTAGAAGACTCTTTAGTGGCGAGGGGAAAACGGCAGGAAAAGCCACGGAGCAGGAGGCTGTGGGGAGGGGGAGGAAGGAGTGGTGCCTTCAGCCCCAGAAATGGTGGAGGAGGAGCCATGGGTGGGGAGGAAGGAGTGGTGCCTTCAGCCCCAGAAATGGTGGAGGAGGAGCCATGGGTGGAGGAGGCGGAGGGAGAAGAGGAGGAGGTGGGGCCACTGGTGGATCTGCTACCCAGGCCTCCGCTGGAGGTACCATCTTCTCCTGTTTTAAAGGCCCGTCCAGCTGTAATTAAGAAAATAAAAATGAAACAACTGTGGGCTCTTAAGGGGTAGGAGCAGCCCTCTCCCCAGGTTGTGGGGCACTCCATGCTATGTCCCTATACCCAGGATGACCTGGTAGACATGAGGGTCCGGCATAGGCAGAGGCCATCTGAATCTCTGCCTATATGGCTTTTATGTCTCTGGGACATGGGGGTGGAGAACACTGTTGTGTCAGGTACTGAGATGGGGAGAATGGCTTCCCTGACGACTCACCCTTCCTTCTGGCAGCAGTTGCAAAATGCTCATCACGCCTCAGGGAATCAAACACTCCTGGAATGGCTGACAGCTGCCATTACGGTAGTTTGGCCTAATCAGGGTGATTTACCATATTTTCCCAGTATCTGGAAAACGTATGCAGAGCTCCAACAGGTAGTGCTGGAACTGGGTATGAAAAATATCTATAATATGGACAGGAATGAGAAACCTGGTGCTGCATACAGCTCCCACATCTCTCTTTGGGTCCCTAGTGAATACTCTTGTCCCCCACCTGGGACAACCCATAAGTGAGGCTACTCATACTTTAGTAGATCTGGAGCGTGTTGAAACAATAAGGGCATGAAAGGAAGTATGGGCTACAACTGAAAGGAGAGGTGCAAACAGCCCCATGAAGGTCTCAAGGACCCAGACGGGGGTTGATTTGATAGAGGCTGTGGTAGTGAAAGAAAAATCGATGGGCAGCCCAATAGAATATTGTTAGAACTGTGGCACCAATGAAAGCCAGAGCAGCAGTTCCATCCCCTGAGGTCCAGGACACAGGAACCAGAGTCAAGGCCTCGTGCCCGGCCTGTGTCCCTGCAAAACTTCATGGGAGACAGTACTCAGGACTTGCCTGGGCCCTCACCCCCACAGGAGGATGATTGGGCATTGCTGTTCAACTGAGGGGGGGTCAAAGTCTCCACCTTGGGGGACACAGTGGGGACCAGAGGCCATATGTAGCATTAACAATTCATTAGTCCCCTGTGAATGTACAACATATCCTGGTGCTGGTTGACACAGGAGCTGAGTGTTCTTTGATTCATGATAACCCTGAGCATCTTCCCGGACCCTGATGTGATAGATGGCTAAGGGGGTAAAGCAATTAGGGTGAAGAAAGCCCAAATCTCATTGGTGATAGGGCATTTACGCCGAGAGGAGTATACCATTTACATTTCTCCCATCCCTGAATGTATTTTGGGGGTAGATATCCTGCAGGGCCTGTGGTTACCGACCACTGCATGTGAGTTCAGACTGAGGGTACATGTGGTAAAGGCAGTTCTGAGGGGACATGCTCAGCACCCACCAGCAGCTCTGCCTGTACCTCGGTGGGTGACAAATGCTAAGCAGTATAAATTGCCTGGGGGCACAAGGAAATTGGAGAAACTACAGGAGCTAGAGAGCATGGGCATCATAAAGCCCACTCATAGTCCTTTCAGTTCCCCAGTGTGGCCAGTGAGAAAGCCAGATGGTTCCTAGCATATGACTGTGGACAACAGGGAATTGAATAAAGTCACACCCCCTTTGCATGCTGCTGTCCCCTCTACAGCAGCCATTCTGGACACCCTCAGCCATGAGCTGGGAACCTATCATTATGTAGTAGACCTTGCTAATGCTTTCTTCTCTATTGACATAGCACAGGAAAGCCAGGAACAGTTTGCCTCCACATGGGAAGGCCAGCAGTGGACATTCACTGTCCTTCCACAGGGATACCTCCACAGTCCCACCATCTGTCACGGACTTGTAGCCCAGGACTTGGCCACATGGAAGAACCACAAACAGTGCAGTTGTATCACTACATTGATGATATTATGCTCACATCTGATTCTCTTGCAGATTTGGAAGGGGCAGTTCCTAGACTGCAACATCTACAGGAAAAAAGATGGGCTGTGAACAGCACCAAGGTTCAGGGACCTGGTTTGTCTGTGAAATTCTTGGGGGTTGTGTGGTCAGGTAATACTAAAGTTGTTCCTAAAGCAGTTATAGACAAGGTCCAGGCTTTCCCTACCCTTACCACTGTGGCAGTATTACAAGTGTTTCTGGATCTTTTGGGCTACCGAAGAGTGT